AGCTTAGATGCTCAAAAGGTATCATAAATACTGTACAACTGTGTTTGGCCAAAATCTAATTAAAAAAAACAAAACACAAGCTAACTAAGTAGGCAAGGCTGTGTTGGGAACTGTCACTACTGACAGATTACTCAGGTTCCATAAATTGCCCAGATAATCAGGGAAAAAAACACTCCTTCAAAGATTTTTTAACACAAGAGAAAGTAATTCAGAAGTCAGAGTGTGCTGACTGTCACAACCTTGCAAACTTACCAGAAAGCTCAATCTCCTAGTCTGGGGGTGATTTTTTTTTGGTAGGTTTGGGGTTTTTTCCCCACCTTTTATATGTTTCCTGTAACAAATAATCACCTTTTTTTTTTTTTTTAACAGTCCTTTGTACCTTTTAGATGTATGAATGCTAAACTTTGTTGCTGAAGTCTAAAACCCCTCTGTTGTTCTGTCTCAGGATGTCCATTTACACATTAGACTAACACTCAGCATTTCCCATTTCACTACTTAAAGCTTGTCCTGGCACCAGCAAATGGTGTGGGCTAACAGAAACTGATTAAGAGAACTCTATGTTGCTGTGGACTCTTCATATTTTATCTTGCTTCAAAAAACAGTTCTTGACATTTGGGAGGGGTTTTGACTTTAATGCACTGCAGGATGAAGTTCAGTTATCCTACAAATGAATGTGATTTAATTGATTTGGCTTGGTAAATTGTGACCAACCTGGGATGTAAAATGCATGTGACAAAGAATTGAGGGCTCTTTCTTGATTATTAGGGTGCTTTGTCATTTTGAGGCAAAAAACACATTTACAGGTTTGTCTACTGTTACCTTAAGTTAAAACACTTAACTGATAATTAATATGTAGTTACCAAAACACACTTTGCTTCCTCTCACACACAAGGTCCAATAAAGGTGTCTGGTGGTGGAAGCAGTGGGCACTGCTCCCTGGGAATGAACACTGCTCCTACAGAGGGGGAACATGGAGATTTTAATTATTTTTATTTCTGTCATTATGATGTACTTTTTACAAAAACAAGTCACAAAATACCATGTGATGCATCTAAACTAAGAACCTCCAAAGTGCCTACTAGCCTTTCACACAGACACACATTTACTGATTTTCAGAATTACAAATAACTCTCAGCTGGAATGACTCCATTACTAACATTCAGACTCCAAAACCAGTTGTGACCCAATAATTACTAGACTTTCTGAAGCTTCAGGAGGAGCTCTTTGAATTTCACATGAGTGAAGTACTAGGAGCTTTGATTATACAAAAGGGTTGGAACAGCCTCTGAACTTAATGGAATTGGTATTTCCCTATGCAAGTGAGCCACGTGAGCAGGGATGAAGAGCCACAGCCTTACTAGCCAAAATCAGTCTCACCAACTCTCTGCAGCCCATTTCTCTGTTTTCTTAAATGTAGAGTTTACCTTTATTCCCTCTTAGTGTTTTCCATAACCCTGCCTTTTTTGTGGCTACTTTCTGCAGTGTTTCTTGTCCACCAGAGACCCTAAACCCAAGGAATGTGTTTTTCTAGGTTACTCCCCTTCTATTTTTTGGCTTTGTTAGGCTCATGAGACCAGGTCCAAACCCTTCCAAAGTTTCAGTCTTTGCCTGATTTTAGTCAGTCTTAGAGAGAAGGCACAGAGTGAAGAAGGACTCCTAACCTTTTTCTGGGTCCTTCTCTGTCCTTAACTGCAGGGTAAAAAAATACTTTAAATACTACCTATGATTAGGCAACAAGGCAAAAACTGTTGTAAAAAGTCCAAATCCAGACTGCTTCACACAGACAAGCAGGTCAGGGAGAAGCAGGCAGACACAGAGTGCAGTTGCCAAGACACATCCAGCAACTTCCACCTGCTGGGAATGCCCAGGGAGCAGAGTGGCCAAGGCTTCAGGGGTGACAAAGGCTGCATGTTGGGCATGTAAGGCTACCTTAGAAGGCTACCTGCAGCATCTCATCTGGTTGATTTCTCAGCCAAATCTCAGCTCAGAGATTTGTTGGAGCCTCAAAATTCTCCACTTGGAGAGGGGATCAGTAACAGAAAGCACCGAGGAATGGCTTATTTGCTGAGAGACCCCAGTCACAGTGAGGTAACACAATGGACTCAGGGCTTCTCTCACTGAGCACCAGCCTGCTGCACACAGACACAGAGCTCTGCAGGGACTGACAGTCAGAATTAGGGGTTTGCTGCCAGTGTGCCTGAAGAAAGAGCAGCACTGGGCCACTGGTGAGTGAGAGATCTGCTTTTAAGACATATCCCCTGCTCCAAGTAAGAAGGAAAAAAAGAGGGGAAAGAAAAAAAAAGTAGCAGCAGAGAACAGTCATGGTAAGAGAAACACAGGAGATTAAAGACATAACACAATTTTCACAGAGGCAAATCAAATAAATTAAAAAAAAAAGAAAAATACTTTACAGACATAAATATCCTCCTTGGTAATGAAAGAAGAAGCCATGTGTTACAGTGAAAAACAAGTCTAATAAACAATAACTTCATTATATGGTACATCATTAACCACTAAAAATCTTTGTAGGCTACAGACAGGACATCATGTTACTGCTTTTTGGTTTTACAACAATTAAAGCTCACTAATGTGCCACAGCTCCTGTAAGAGACAAGACCACACAGTAAGGCTTAGATACTCAGGCATCTTGGGGGCTCTGGGAGTTCTGGGTCTCTCAGAAGCATCCCCTTACAGCCCCTTCTGACAAGGTTTACTGTGAATGATGAGAAATTTACTATCAGCTTGCTCTGATGCACAGCTGGCCACTCTTGCAGACAGGCAAGTCTTACAATCCTCCACAAAGAAGGAGCAGCTTTGCAGCCTGTTCACCCCAGACAAGGCTCTAAAATGCAACCCAGAGGCTCTCAGTGTCTGGGGGAACACCAGATAGCCCAAACCTCCTGCCTGCAGCCTGCTGGCAGCTGTCTGTCTGTCCGTCTGCCTGGAGTCTGCTACGAGAGGGCTTTGCTGCTGAGCTGCTCTGGCTGCCTGGGCTGAGGAGGCTTCCCCAGCAGGATTTCAGGCAGCAGGGATTTCAGCCAGCCCACCCAGGGGCCACAGGCAGGGCCTGCCTGGGGCAGGTGAGAGCAAACAGGCTGCAAGAGACAGAGTGAATTACCAGGCTGATACAAAAAGGCTGACAGTGTGCCCCTGAACATCTGTTTGCTGTGCAATAGCTATTTACAGAAACATGCTAAGTGGCACTCTGCTCAAGTGTGTTTGTATTTGATTTCGTTGATTACTTTGTTTCCTGGCTCAGGTTTTGCTCAATGAGCTCTCCCAATTCAGTTGAGGTGGTTGGAATCACCTGAAAACCAATTTCTGTTTCTGTTTTGATGGATGGTCTCAGCCTAACCTTTTGCTGGGGTGATGTATTGAAACACCTGCACTTTATTTCCCCTTCTACTCTGCTGTGACCAGAACCATGTTTTACGTGAGGCCAAAATGACTCCTGCTGAAGCCAGAACAGAGGATGTGATTTGGCATAGTGTTCCTCTGTGTTCCTAAAATCCTGGTGTCCCAGTGCTCTCCTTACGATCAAATTGATGTTCATCTTCTCAGATCTCCTCCACTGCTAGCTAACTAAATAGTAATGAAAAAATTGGACACACAATAGTTAATGTGAATGAGCTGTGGCTTGAAATAGCAGGTAACAGATGGAAACAAAAGACACCGACTATCCTGACACTTCTATCTTTAAATGTTTGTTTATGCTAAAAATACGCTTCAGGCCAGCAAGCCTGTCTGTGCCTATAACCTTCACTGTATGCTCAATCTATACTTCAAACCAGCCCAAGCCTGAAACCCAAATATTGCAGACATTTTCTGAAATCATCAGGAGTTGTGGGATCAGAATCTGGAACAATCTGGGTTTAAGATTAAAAAGTTCAAACCCAAACCAGAACTAACAGACGTTCCAAGACTCGCCTTTCTAACTTTATTCACAGTGACTGTCTGGCTGCTCCCATTGATGCCAAACTCCCAACAACCCTCCCAGGCAGGTGGGTGAGAGCCCTCCCCCTGATTGGGCTCTGCAGGGATGTGCCCTTCAGTGGCCACTTTTCTGGGGAAGGATCATGCACAAATTGTGACCCAGAAAGCCAGGGTGGAATCCTGTACCTGATGAAATTATCACTGCCACCATGTGCATAAAGAAACCCCTTACCATGCCACTGATGGTTCCAGTTATGCCTCATACACCAAGATATTAATGATTTTAGTTTAGACTGTATTTTTATAGCACTGTGCAAAAGTATGATAGATAATTCTGGAATAAGAATAAGGGCTGGCTTGGAAAATGTCACTGGAGATGCAGACTTGCACGCAGATTATGCCATCTTTCCAAAAATACACATCAACTTTACCTTTCTTTAATATATGTGTTATATACACACCACAGGCTCAATTTTCCCATATTGGTGCTTCTCTTCATGCTCGAACTCCTTACATCTACAGAGTCCCTGAAGAAGCAAAAGAGTTTTTCCTGATCTTGAACATAATGTATGGGATTCTTCCTCAGCTGTTCGCTTACAGGTGTGTCAACAAGCCAGAGTTTTTCATGAAACCAAAACAAGAAGAAAAACCAGAATAGCAGAACTGTTTCCAGCTCCTGTCCTTGGCTATGTATATAACTGGGTTGGGATGTAACTGAACTGCTCAGATGGAACCCAAATGAAGCGTGTGAGATGTGTAACATTGCACAACTGTGTAGTCGCACGGTCTGCTCTGTTTATCCTACTGAAAAAGGGAAAATAAAGACAACTGCCTTTAGCACCACTTCTCAACATTGTGACTTTGCAGTGCATTGCCAGTTCCCACAGCTATTTTTAAGTAAGCTGCTTTGACAGTTTTAGAAATACTGCATGAAGTTAAATAATAATAATGATGTCAGTGTTTAGCCTCCGCACGCTGAAGAACAGCAGTGCTAGCAGTCCCTGCACAGAGCTACTGCACAACATGAAGGCCAGCATTGTGAAGCATGAAAAATTAACATACATAACTCTGTCACATGCACATGTTTTATTTGTCAAAAAGTATGTCTTGTGGGTCGACCTTGTTAAAAATCCCAAGAAATCTTTTAAGAAGCAATCAACTCTTATAGTAAGACTCCATATATGATAAGCAAATCATATAGTTTTGTTAATTCTCTTCAGGAATCACTTCTGCAAGGACTGCTCCCCTGCTTGAAGCCCAGCAGGTGCTCAGCAGCACTCGTGGCTGGGCACAGAGGGCTCAGGACCGTGAGCCACTGGGCTCAGGCCGCTCGTGCGTTTCCAGAGGAGGGGTTTTGGCTGTGTCTCTGCAGCTACTTTTGCTAATGCTGCTGGCTCAGAAACAAGCAGCAGCAAACACAGCGACCTTGGTTTGGGCAGCTTATGTTTCTATTTGCAATTACAGCTATTTCTATGCCTTCTATGTGTATTTATATTAAAAGCAGTACACCTAGTGCCTTTCTCACAGATGAAACTAGCTGATACGTTTTAACTGGAAACACTTTATTTGGGTGTGTTGACTTCTTGGTGTTTGGATTGAAAGAATTTTACTTTTAAGTCTAATCAGTAACAAGGAAGCAGCTGACATGCCTGTGTGCTGCACCCTGCACGAAGGGACCTCCAGGGCACTGAGAAATGCAGGCTGTAACTCTGCTGCTGAACACTGCCGTGCAGCTCCCAGCAGCACGCAGAGGAGAGGCCCCAGGTTTTACACCTGCAGCCAAAGGGGCAGCTCCAAAACAACCACAGCACACCTCAGGCAGTGCTTGTTGGCACCCAGCATCCCTGCTGCAGCTCCTTAGGCTTTGGGATTGCTCCATCCCAGGGCCTCTTTCTTCCCAGGGAAACAAACCCAGCTGAGCTGCCGGGCTCCCACAGGACGTGCTGGCTCACAAACAGGTATCTGAGCCTCTGGTGTTACTTCTGATGTCTTGAAAGAAACTTTGAATACATTCAAGGTGAATTTAATGACCTCCTGTTATCCAGAAAAGGCAAAGTACAGAAAAAATAAAGATCTCACCTGCACTTGTATCTATTATGGTCAACTCATGTTAACAGAATGTTTTGCTTTAATACTTGACTTACATTAATACCTCACATTATTACACGTATGAAGCCAAATATGACGCTAACTTAGTTGCTTACAACCTCAAACCTTACTCCCAATACACATTCCAATAAATTTATTCTGTAAAAACAATACATTTTTTTTGTTTCCTTTTTGTTTTCTTTTGGTCTTTTTTTGGTTTTTTTTCCTTGTGGTTTTTTTTTAGTTTTTTACAGTAAACTCATCAACTACAAACCTTGAATACGCAAAAGATGTTCCAAGGACAAGCATAACAAGGATTGATAAAACCAGACTAAATATGTTTTCACAATAAAAGCTGGCATAAAAATAAATAAAAATCTCTATTATCACAATAGCAACAATAATGTACACAGAGTAATGGATTTGGAATGCTTACTTACTAGTCTAGTTCTATTTCCAAAAGGAAAAAAAAAGCCAGAATGACAGCATCCTTTTTTAAGCCTTTCATTATTTAAAATTGATGTTTTGTTTTGGTTTCCCATAGGGCTGTATATCACAGTAAGCTTAAAAATGGAAAGCATCCAAATGAATGATTTCAAATTGTGTTGGCATTGGAAAAATCCTTGTATTAATCTAAAGAAACACAAAAGACTTTCACTAACTCCACATATAGGAACTAAGTCAGATAGTGTACATTACATCATGGTTTGGAGAAGTATTAAGAGTATAACTAGCTAGGTACTTCTAATAAGGAAAGATATTTTATTACATTATTGAACTTGGTGGTGATTTCAACTGAAGAAGAATTTTTCTTTTATGTTATAAATTGATCAAAACCCAAGAAAGAATGGATCTAGGAAAATTTAAAATTATGTTTGTATGTGGAAGATTATTGTAGCATTATATGGAGGGGACTCATTTCTAAGATTTAGTTGTGTTTAAAAAATGCTGATTTAGAATGATATAATTTGGAGTTATACCTTTTCTGTCTCGAAAAGGAATCTAAAACATGTTCAAGTATGCGATATCTTCATAAACCTCAGCCACTGGAAAAGGGCAACTTCATGCAACCAAATAATATGAAAATCAAAAAGTAACCCTTAGAAAAAAGGGTAAAAATGTCATTTCTGCAAACACAACAGATAGGAATGTGAATAATGTGCATACAAACTGGGATGCTGTTGATGGTACTAATGAACAGATGTGGTGACTCATATCAAATCCAAGAATATTAGACAACCAAACATGTAACCTTCTTGTGTTTTCCCTTAATATTCAGCAGTCATTATGTTGGTTAAGTCTGAAAGAGAAAGAGAAAGAAGTCACATTTAATGTAAGAAATAACATGCTGCATCAAACTTGATACAATTGAAGTTATATTTCCACACTTCTAAGTCACAGGTACAAGTAACCACCTGCTCTGTTCAAACAAATTTTTTTCAAGAAAAAACTGCTTTGTTATATCAACTAAACATATCATTACAAAATATTAATGAGCACAGTTTAAAAGTAAACATTTAGGGCTGTATTCAATAAGCAGCACCAGTGATGTATGTGGGTGGGATTTTCCCTCAATCACTCCATTACAAACCTTGTAGCACACTTCAGGCACAAACAAACTTTGGTTTTTTCCACTGCACAAAATCACTGATGAGCTTCATGCAGGAGCTCAGGCACTGCTGCATTCCTGGATGTCCAGCCACAAGAACACCCTCTTGTTCAAATACAGGAAAGCTTAGCAAGAATGAGCAAAGATAAACATTTTCATCACTAAGGGATCCAAGTGGTGCTTCTGAAAAGGAAACAGCTTGGCTCCAGTTCACTGTAGAGGTGATGACAGAAAAGGAACTCCCACGGGTGAGTCAAGGTCAGCTCTTGCTTTCCCTGACATTAGTGGGATGAGGATCAGACTGTCCCCACATGATCACAGCAAGTGATACAAGTCTGGGTTTCCTCCAATTGAACAGAGATGGCAAAATTCACCTGCTGGCCCGGGGACAGGTTATATTAGCCAGCAACACGACAGCATGCAGTGCACCATGACCACCCACCTCTGGGCAAGGCATCCCTTCTACAACACTACAATACCTTCGCTGTCTTTGGTCAGTGCAGGTCTCTCCTGTGACAAGTGGTTTGTCAAGAGTAAAAATGGAAAGCTGTGCTTTCCGTGTGGGAGGTCCTGGCACATCCTGGTTAACAATCAGGGGTTATTATCAAGTGCTCAGGCATGCAGCAATGGCTTACAGGAACTGCTGGAGCCCTGAGTCCCCCAAAAGGGGTAACCCTGTGCTGTCCATCCAGCACACCACACTCCAGAGGCCTCTCTCCTCTTTCAGAGTCAGTGAGCTCATAGAGATGCTTGGGGGGATTCACTGCTGTTCCTTTCCCTTCAGACTCAGACACCCGTTAAAACAATTTCACGTGATCAGTCAATCAAACAAACCCTGCTTTCTGCTAAGATTCCCATTGGCAGCTGCTGCCCAGCACTGACAGGTAGGATGGGATAACACAGCTGCTTCCTGTGCTGTAACTCTCAGATCCAGTACAGGAAGATGTCCTTTGGGAGCATGACACCTTTGCAATTGTTAACCACAATTCCCTTCTGGTCTACATCCAGAAGATTGGGTAGGATCATCCTTACGTGGGTGCTGGGAACATTAATCCTCTCCTCCACACTGTGTCACAGCTGTTGGGCCACAGCGTGGCGGGAGGGACAACAAAGAGACAGATAATGCAAGTCACCCTCCAGGCTTTTCAGTTTCCAGTGGCATGTCCCATCACGGCCTCGGGGCGCAGTGGCAGTGGCCCAGAGGCAGCAGGGCTGTCCCCAGCACAGAGAGCTGCAGGGCAGCGCTGCTCAGGGATGCAGCTGAGCGAGTCCTGCAGCTCCTGCAGCTCCTGCTGCAGCTCCTGCAGCTCCTGCTGCTCAGGGATGCGGCAGCGCCGAGCACCTCCCCTGGTCTCCATGGTTTCACGTCTCTCCAGAAACAGATCAACTCTCAAACATCTTTGTTTGAACAAGTCTCTCAGCTTCACTGTAAGCTATGGTACAACGTGTGCCATGCTGCACACAACAGAGAGAGCACAGGATCTGACTGATTAGAGAGCAAAGTTTCTGTTATCAATGGCAGCACACAGAAAACAGAGCAGGGAACAAAACTAAACCCACAAACTGCCGTCTGTTTTTCTGGCACTGAAGATTACTCCCTTAACAGTGTCTGGCAACCAATTCAGCCATCCTGTACTGTAAAACTGCATGGGCAGAAAGATAATTGTTTACTTGTACAATAGTTGTTAATCCGTGTTGGTTTGAGGTCAAAGTGGTTATGTAATTCAATGTACACAGAGCTGCAAATATTTCATCTCTACTGGCTGCTTTAATCTCAACTTGCATTCAGACATTTATGTTTCCTCTGAGTTATGTCCCATGTCCTTAGCCAGCAGTGCTGTTATCCTGAGCTACTGGAAGGCAGCAGACAACACAACTCCTTACACCATATACTATGCCACTATTTGATTTTTACATAGAAATTTTTACTGTGCAATACTTAGACACATTCTTACAAATATTATCATTTGCTTTGAAGGGTAGATTTTACTGTACCTCCAACTGCAGGAAAAGAAAATGAGACAGAAAAACATACTGTGTTTTCATTTTTTGTACAAAAGGCTTTTACATTGAACTGAGCTCCAAATGCAATGCTTTCAATGCTGACAAGCCCCCAAATGTGTTATGCAGCCTGACCAATGCTTTTCCTGATAAGTAAAGAAGAGCAAAGGGACCAAACATCTCAGAACCACATCAGAAGGACGCAGTGAACCTGCATTTCTCTGGCCAGTTTTGCCATTACACTTGTACCTCACAGCAGTAACTGGGATTGTTGCTACCCCACAAGAATGCCACAACAAAAAAGCCTGGACACAGGCTGTTTTAAATATGTTCTCCCAAATGCAATGGTGTCAGATAGCAATAATTTTGGACCAGATTTTGATCCCCTTATTCATGCTGGCAGTTGCCTCCACAAATAGATCCACTGACTCAGTTGGTAACTGATTGTCAGTGTGAGAAAAAGGATCACAGTCCCTTACTCCATTTTAATATTCAGGCTGCACCAGAAGCAAGAAAATATATCTCATTTCCAGCAAATCTATTCTTCTCTGAAGACAGTAAAATCATTCACCTCCTGCACCTGAACACCAAGCAAACACCTCCTTTACCAATACACTGCCCAGACTGAAACAGTGAACACCAAAACGAAAACTTGCCACACACCCTGTGTGCTGCCCTGACCTCCAAACACTCTCTAATAAGGCCAGAACCACAGCCAGCTTTCGAACATGAGTACGTGGCCATCCAGAAAGTAAAGTAAAAAGCAGTTTAGGTGTTCAGTTACAAAGATTCAGAGTTATGCCAGCCAAGAACTAAAGACACAAGTCACCAGAGGTTTAAATGAGGAATGTAAATCTGCTGCCACGAATTCTCTGATTTATGAACTAATTTAATGCCATGAAAGTAAACAACACAGAGCTATGAATACCTTTCCACCAGAAAATTCTCTTTACATGGTATTCTAGAAAGCCAAAACAATTTAGTATTTAACAGCAGGGAACACTTCTGGGAAGATTCTGTGACTCAAGATCTGAGCAAACTCTGGGATTGGCCATCTTAGCTAATAGACTATTAGTTAATTAATATTGGATGATTAACTCCTGAACTTCAGGCTGTGCATCTTTCTGGGGAAGGAATCAGACAAAGATCAGCAGTTAGGGAAAGAGCTTGAAAAACATGTAGTGATGGGACACAACTACCAACTATGGTTGGGAATGAGGAAACATCTCTTTGTTGAGAATGCCTGTAGTACTCAAGAATAGCTCAGAAACGAAGGGATAGAGTTAAAAAAAAAAAGAAAGCACCTTTGTCTACCCAAGGGATAAAAAGAAAATCACAAGTTGAGCCCTTGAACAGTATGAAATTGGCTGAAAAAAATGTAATAGCTCTGAAAGTACTTTTATTTGCTCTGGGTTTGAGTCTTCAGGAAGCCATCACTTCACATTTTCAAGCTTACCTCTACCACCTGGAGGTTAGAATTTTCATTAAAAAATATAGGTGAAGGTGCTCCTGCAATCATCTGACTTTGGCTGTCAGCCCTTCAAGAAGATCCCTATAATGCTGAGGGTAAGAGTATGATTAAAAGCAGGATTCCATCTGATCTGAGGAGCAGAGATGGGTCTTCAGCCTCCAGTCCAGGCATTACAAAGGTAATTACTACATCATTATTAGTAGTTTTATTAAGAGAAGAGCTTGTCTCCTCCAGGCAGCTCTTGCACAGGGGCCAGAGGCACTCTGAGCCCAGGGGAGCGCCTTGGCGAGGGTGGCCAAGCCTCGTGTGCCCGCATGGTGGCCCAGCCCCGTGCTGGTGAGCAGGCAGCCCTCCAGCAGCGGCAAAGCACGGGCTGGAACACTCCTGTCCCTGAGAAGAGGGCCCTGAAGGCCAGCCCTGAAGGTGGGTGTTTGGTATCTCTGTACGCGGGTTTGCAGCGAGCACAGCCCCGCACCCCGCGGCCGCTCCTGGCGGCACCTCATGGCAGCAGCAACGCCCTGGAGCGATGGGTCTGTGTGAGATCCCCCCCTGGACAGCGGGACTGGGCTGGGGGAACCCATCACACTGCCTGCTGCTCTGCTCACGAGCTCCCTGATCCTAGGGAGACCATTCTCTCCTCTGTGGTGGTGTCTTCAGCTGGTCGAGACATTGGTCTGAACTCACGTGTGTGAACAGAAGGATCATATCCCAACTCTCCAGGAGCACGTTGGTGTTTTTCAACCTTCCTTTCCACAGCAGAGAAGCCCAAGAGCGTGGGCTGGAGGAGCTGGGTGCCCTGCAGCAGAGCCTCAGTCGGGGTGTCCAGCAGGACGTGGCTGCAGTGTCCAGCAGACAGCTGGCCCCGCGCCCCAGGTCACCAATGCGGACACTGCGGGGCTGGCTGTTTAACACCAGCTGGAAAAGAACCTGCTGCTCTTCCCCCAAGTGCCCTGTGTCTTCTAAAAGCACACCTTCTGAAAGGACACTTGGTCTGGCTCTAGGAGCAGCAGGAGATGGAGTGTCCCCTCCTGGTCCTCAGAGAGAACTGCACTACTGACAAAACCTCAATGAAACGCTGAAGAGATTCCTGTGTGGAATGATGACTTTGCAGCAGAAATGGCCAAGGTGAAATATATGGATCAGGATGTGAACTTTTCCAAACTTATTAGTGCTTTTATCTCAAGCTGCCCTTAAAACCACATCCCCATTTTCTCTTTAATCTGTATTACTAAAACTCCACCTTTTCCATAATGTTGAAAGCACCCAAGACCTAGCAACAGACTGGTTGCTCAAGCATGAGTTCAAGGCTGCGTGGTGGGGCTGCAGAAGTCAGAGCAGAGCCACCTCCCCACATGGGTATGACAGTAGTGACTCTGGATATTTCTTCAAGTTGGTCCTGGCAGGAAGGATAAGACTGTTGACAGTGTTGCAGTATTTCAGCACAATATCTGTAATCCTGAAAACACTGAGAAGTACCACGATGTTGTAGCATGCTGGACTCTACCTCCCAAGCATGTCACAAGCCTGTCACAGCCAGAAGAAAGAGCCATATGAATTTCAACAGCCACAAAGCCAACATCCTGTGTGATGTTTTAGCCACTTAGTCTGTGACTGACCTAACTCAGTTAGCATTTCGTCCTTACATGGAAAATGTGCCTGAAGTTCACAGACATATCCCCTGTCACTGCCACAAACACGGGAAACACAGCAGGGCCTGCTGAACTTCTTGTTACCTCAGATGCACCTCACAAACAGTTTTCTCACCCAAATACCTACTTGAAGACATGGAAGTGTCACAGGGTTCACTAGGCAGAACGTGGGCCACCCTTATCAGCCTCTGACACTCTGGGGGTGAGAGGCTGGGAGGGCACAGCTGCCAGGCTGGGAGGGCACAGCTGGGCAGTGTCTCCTTGCATCAGTCCCTGGCTGAAGCCAGCAGCTGGTTCAGAGTGAATGGGAGTGTGAATTTTCCTCGTGACCCCATCAAAGTGAGCCACCTATCAAAGTCTTTATAAAGCAGAGTCACAAAACAACTACACTGCACTGCAGAGAGACACGGGGAAAGGAAGCTCTGGGAGGAGTCTCTGAGTGGGAGACAGCAGCAGCTCCAGAGGTTGTGCTTTGTGAGAAAAGGCTGAGCAGGCAGCTGGGTGCTAAGGCACCCCAGCAGTGTCAGCTGAGAGCTGTGCTGGCTGGCCTCCTCTCACACCTGGGGCTTCGTGTCACTCAGCTCCTGCCACAGCCAGCCCGGCTGCTGCCCACGTGGCAGAGCCTTGGCATGGGCACTGCACAGGGACTGCTGCTGAGCTGGAGCTCCAAGTGTTGGAGCAGAGAGGCCTGTGCTGCTCCAAAGGCTCAGAAATAGCAGGGGTGGTTAAAGGTGGCTGAGTAACCAGCTGCCATGCTAATCCTCCTGCTCAGCCTTCCCCTCTTGTTGTTGTGGCACAACAAAGGAATATTGATATGAACACACAACTGACAAAACACACAAGGAGATTGAATGAAGCTGCTCTGGAGCAGATTGCGTATCCCACCCTTGGAAGGTCTAGCCCAGGGCAGCATCTACCCTGGAACCTGCAGTATGCAGAGTCTGTCATGAGCACATGAACCCTCAAGAACCCCGAAGAAGACACTGGGACCCCACAAATTAAACAAGTGTGAAAGGGTAAGCAGGCTCCCTCTGTTAGTGAGCCAACATGCATTATGCAAACAGTCTGATTCTGCTCTCACATCAATTTTGCATCATTCCAGCTCATGGTTTTCAGTAGCTCCTCTCAGCTGACATCTATGCAAGTGTCAGAACAAAAATAATGCTTGTTTTCAGTCATCTCTCTAGAGCAAAATTTGTACCACTGCAGGCACCAGGTCCATTTCTGCTCTAGACACATTCTGAGCACTGAAATGTAACCCAAGGAGGTGGCACGTGGCACACACAGGTCACCCTGGCTCCAAAGCCCCCCAGGAGCAAACTGCATGGGAATAGAATGACAAGAACAGTAGATTACCCCTTCACTGGTTTTCTGCAAGTCTGAAGAAGTGTTTCTTGTGTCATTGCCTGCGTCCCCAGCATCAGAGCTGCTCTTATTTTCTTCCTCTTTGCAGTCCTTATCATCTTCATCTCCAGGAGATTTCCGTGACTGCTTGGAGGATTTCTAAAATGATCAACAACAAAGTTAAAATTAAAACCTGAGCTTCAGCCATAAAAGAAGTATGTGGAATACTGTCTGATCATGCATTTCCCTGTTCAAGGTGAATATTGGGCAGGATACACGGGGTGAAAAGCATTTTTCAGGTGAAGTAGCTGGAGTTACTGCCACCAGTGAAGGAAATTTCTCAAATTCTGTGTTCAGCACAGGTTGGCAGCTCAATTGACTGAAAGACAGACACAGTAATAGGAGCTGGGTATTAGTGCTGGGTCACCTGTAGGTTTTGTTAGTTAATGAAACAGATGGTGCCAGCTTGGCAAAAGTTTTGATTAAACACAGAGATGTAAAATGAGAATAACATTAGCAGAGCTGCTTTCCATACTTTTTTTTAGTGCTGTCAGCTTTAATATATTAACATTAGAGCCATGTGGAACCAATACATCTTTTCCTTTACATCCCTTTATGTTATGCAATTCTACAGTACAAAAGGATAAATTGTGGCATTAAGCCACCATTTTCATAATCCTCTGTTTGCCCAGAGTCTTCTTGAAAGAAGATGGTAGACCAGACCTGAATTTCTGATGTAAAACACACAAAAGGGGTGAAAATACATTTTGTTTGGTGGATCAACCACAGAAATTCACACTCTCCCCCAAACTGTGCCTGGATCAGATTGTTTGATTGCTTCTTCTCATTTCCATTAGTTTTCACTTTCAGAGAAGAATAACATGAATGTGAATAAATTGACTCTGCCACACTTTACTTTTCAGGGGAATGCAGCCCTGGAGGCACACACAGAACCAGAGGAAGTGACTATAATGTTGCTCCCCTTTACCCAGTGATGAGCACCCAGTGACAAGTGGGAAGTCTATCTGAACCCAAAGGTGTCACTTCTCAGGGGATTTTGTCCACCAGCCACTGTGAGACAGACGCACCACTCTTAGCTTCCTGACCTACCCTGTTACTTAAGACATTAACAGGGCTGGTGGGTACTACAGTGTAGGTCTTATGTCTACAAACTGAGCATCCTACTCCCTGATTAATGAATTAGCTCTTCCACCTTCCCATCCTGTATCTGGACTGAAGTGTTTTACACTCAGCTACAAGAGGAGCAGTTGAGCACTTCTGGCCCTACCAGATCTTTCTGGGAGATGGGAGGGGGAAGCTTCAGTTCTCCTGGACAGGAACCAAACCTGAGCTCATGACCCTCAGGAGGCCACTCCTAAGGCTTTTTTTCTTCTTCTTGGGGAGAGACCTATCTGAGATGATTAAACTTATCAATCCTATCAATCCATCTTTGCATGGGTTTTCTTTCCAGCCCTGCTGATCTCCTTCCCATCATTTCACCTTCTCAGTGTGTGGGCACTAGAACAGGGCAGAGTATTTCAACTGTGTCTCACCAAGGCTGTCTACAAAGGAAGAGCACTCCCCTTTGCCTATTTGAACACCACTGTCATGCTATCAGAATCAAAATGCCAAAGGAGGAAGAACAAATTTCCATGAGGTGAACAGTATTCCAGATATAAATGTCCATGGATAACAACAGGAAAAGTCAGAAGATAACCTTTGAAGTATAGGATTTTTTTCGTTTTGAGCCGGCTTTTTCATTCTTTCTTTTTCCTTTTCCATCCTCTTCTACCCGATCACCTTCCTCCTCACTGCTGGCATCTGCTGTATTTCCTCCTTCTCCTTCAGTTTCTGATGAGCTCTGTTGCTGAATTGCCTTTAAATAACAACAACAATAATAACATCAACAATAGAAATATCACTAATACCTATTACTTGATTTTTGTTCTGCATTGAAGATAGAAAGATGGAAATGGACAGCTTACACTTTAATTGCTATAGTTAGGAAGAGCTCAGGTTATTTTTGCAATTATCAGGAAAAAGGGCTGCAAAGGCAATTTTCTCAGTCACCACTTGAACTCAGCTATCAGTTGCAGATTCTGGGATAGCATGTTCTGAAGGTTTACATAGAAACAGAAGATCCAATAACAAAAACGTGTTTGCTGGAGGAGAACTGAGGGCTGCTCAGTGGAGAGACCTGGCCTGTTCCACTCTGGGAAAAACTACTGAAACTTTCAGACTTTGGCTGCAATAGCAGAGACTTTTTTGTGAGAAAAGATGGCTGTTACACTCCCCTCAAAGGGCGAGATCTCTGTGTTTTGGAAAAGCACACCTTGACCAGCAGGCTGAGCACTCTTTGACAGCCCATCTCCCACAGACTATTCACTGGATTTTTTTTAAATCCCCAAGTGTATGCAAAACATGTGTAGGGCTGAAAATATGAAACAGGAACTGAGAGAGGCAGCAGCTTTTCTGCAGGTGGTCTGTAGCTCTGGCTTGTAGTGTTTTGTGATAATAATGTAATAGGTGTTTGCCTTCTTTTGGAGGTGATTCCTACCTTCAAAGGGCCACATTTTTTTAATGAGAAAAGTTCTTTGTTTTATACAGCCCACCAACTACTCTTCTCCCCCTCCACCTTCACCGACTTTCTGCTCTGGACATCCAACAGGGAGAGCTGTTGTACAGCAGCAATTGTCTCCTACCAGCAGCTTAACCCTCCACCTCTCACTCCTCTTAGCTTTGGCACTGCCAAATGTAAAAATCAAAAGTGCAGTGACCTTAAGGTCTGTGTAAAATACACGGAGCCTGACACAAAAATAAACAACAGAAAGAAGAAGTCAGAAATTATTCATGTTTGTACAGGAGTAAATAAAACCATCCATTTTTAATTTAACTAAATGTGTTGCAGAATTTTCCACTTCACCACTCCAGAATGTCACAGAAAGCAAAAGGCTCTGCAGTATGATTAAAGTTCCATTTGTCACAGAGTGTGAGACCACAGTTGTCTTTACATTACACAATTACCAGAGCTGTGAAACTTTCTTGCTCCATCAAAACCAGAACCTTCCACATCACTCTTAAAACACTCACTTTGACAAGAAGAAAAGAAGAAAGATAGGAGCAATAGATGGGAAAGTAATTTACCTGATATCCAGTAAACTTTACTCCAGGGTTGTTTTCTATTTCCCACAGGCCTTCATTAAATCCTTTTCGCTTGTTCGATTTCCCAAACTTATCTTTATATTCTTTATATGGGAAAAGGTCTTTGGGCCCCAGGAACGCACTGCATTTTAACAGAGGGAACATTCAAAGAAGGACTTATCACTCTCCTCTTCAAAAAAGTCATAACATTAACAGTGCAAATGCTTTCCCTGTTCTGCTCATTCGATAATTTATTTTCTAGTTTTATTTATTTATTTTTTTGTCACACTGTCTTTGAGTTACTGCTGTGAGTCTGATTTAATGGATTGGCTCACCATCCTGATGTTTGATGTAGTAAAATCATGCTGGGTATCTCTAGAAACAACTGAAACATCTCTATTTTATTAACTGCTGCTGGGAACTGGCACTTGAACAGTTTATGAAACTTTATGAAACAGTTTATGATGTCATTGCTTGCGATAGCAAGGGACCAAGCTTCCAATCCTAGAGTTATAAATCCAGAAAGGCCTCAAAGATGCCACATGAAAAGCTAAGCATGTAAGGAGTGCCTAGGACCCATGAGCCAAAATTTATCCCTTGTACTATGGGATAGAAAAAGCGGTGGCATTTATTATTATCTCTACTGCCAGTAAGCCTGGGAGCTTCTTTCTTGGAATTAGCCCCCCACATACTAAATTCTGCACAAACACAATAAAAATGCTCTTTCCCAAAAATCTTATAATTTCATATAAGAACAAAAAACAATGGATGAATATAGGCAGATGAGTAATACAAGGAAACAATGAGACACACAGGGTGCTTGTGGCCAAATAGTTTTTCAGACAGCACAGCAAAGGATGGATTTTGTGCTTTGCTGCTGCCTAAGTCAGCTATGCACTGGGCCAACTAATTTCAGGCACAAGCACCACAATGCAGGGAAAAATAATTATTAAAAAAAAGAAGAGTGATGATTTGTCCTGCTTTTTCTACACACATTACAGTAAAACTCTAACTTCTTCTTAACTCTTAAACTGAAGGAAGCATAACTTTCTCTCAGTTGGGTATCTGTATCTACTGTATTCTGCATGACATTGAGATTGTAATCACAAGCCAAATTAAAACAATGAAGGCAAAAAGGCCCCTTCATTCCCACACGTAAAGATTCTGTGTCATCAGAGACCAGAGCTGAGCAAGTCCCAGTGCCCTTCACCATAATCACTGTCCTACTTTCCTGACGATCTTTGCAGTTCATGTTAACTCTCTGCTCTCCATTACTGAGGGACTGTGGAGCTCCACCACGTCCAACACATTTATTGCTGTAACCTCACCACGACATTGAGACTCTGCCCTTTTCTGCAGATGGGATTCTGAGGCACAAAGATTTGTCCAAGGTCACACTCAAAGTGATAGCAGAGGAAAAACCAGCTCACTTCAGCTTCAGTCTAATACCTTAACCACAGGATAATATTTCTTCCTTTCTGCAATCATTATTTCAGATTAATGCCTGATTTATGCCCTGCATTTATGAATGTGCAAAGTCCCATTCACTTAAATCATCCCACTGGCCAAGCAGTTTGCCAGTGCAGAGCCAAATGGTTGCTAAAAAGTCACCAGATGACAAGTCCCTGAGGAAAGAGCTTCCTTCAAACTCCACCTGAGACAGCATGGGATCCACGCTCATGGGATATTGAAAACTGTCTTAATTATATAATTACAAAGCCAAGAATGCATTTCTACCTGAAAGCCAAACAGTGATTTCCAAACTAACACATGTCATGTTAATATTAAATGCTACACTGAATAAATTATGTTATCTATGCTTTTGCTAATACCAGGAGATGTCTCCTTGTCAAAAATATAAACAAACAGTTCTAACACAAATAACAAAGGAAAAATGTATGAAACTTAGTATGAGCTACCTTAACTTAGCTCAACAGTAATGTATGGAAATGTTTCTCTTTTATGTAAAGTAAACACTGAAAAACTGTCTACATCTTTGCTTGAAATGCATTCATTGCCACTGGGAGAGTATAAGTTTCTACTGCTCTGCTATAAAACTAAGGAGCTGCAATCTACAGTTCATTTTTAAGATTTAGGCTTTTACATTTATAAGGTAGGAACTACAAACTCTTTATCTGTTTCAGATGCTACAGTGAGATCACGAGCTCACAAAATCCAAATCAAAAGAGATTATCAGTCTGGGATTCACTCATTTCAAAATAAAAGTGGTCAGTTTTTTTCTTAAATGTTTCTCAAAAATGATGTTTCCATTTGAAAAATAATTACATTTTGGTTTCTGATTTGAAAGCATTGGAATAAAAGTGGCCAGGTTTTTTCTTAAGTGTTTCTAAAAATTATGTTTCCATTTGAAAAATAATTACATTTTGGTTTCTGATTTGAAAGCATTGTAAGTTTATTTAAACTTTACTATTTTCAGATTATTTTGTGACAGTACTAGTGGACCACAATATATCAAAACATCAGTTTGTTTCATCCTAGCAATGAAACTAGAAGAAATAGAAGAACTATTTTAACTAAAGAGAGGCTACTATGAGCTTTATAAAGCAGAAACTGCCTTTAAAGATTTTTATAAAAATAAAATGTGATGTATGAGCTATGGAGCTTATAATATTCTGGAATAACATTAAAATTCAAAAATAAACAATAAATTTTTAATAAAGCTTCAAGCCTCTAGCATTGAATTTAAAATATCATCAGAATTTCATTTTTCCAGTTTTAAGGAATTCTAGAAAACATGTTACCTGCAAATGGGGAAGGAAAAGTTTTAAAATTAAAATATTTTGCAAAATGGAATGTGACTTATTTTTTGGCTATCTCAGACATAGTTTAAACTAGAGACATGTACATTATAATATTGAAACTCTGTACCTTGTAGCAATTATGCTGAGACCTAACTTACCTCTTGTGCTCTGATTCCTTTCTTTCCCTATCAGCTCAGGCAGCTCAGTTCTTCCATCACTTCTGTGAGCTCCATCCTACAATACCCCAGCACAGATCCCAGGAATGCATGTATTTTGAAGCTCTGCCTGAGACTCTGGGGTCTGCTTCCTTTCACATCACAAACTACCAAGCGAGTTCTCACACAGGACACGAGCTCAAACACGTCCAAACACAAGAGCCTGATCTCTGCTATCATGGACATCCAAGTACAAAATATTTGCCCCTGCCTCTGAGTTCAGGGCTTTTTCAGACTCTTTAATGAATTCATGCCCACACATTTCCTTACAGGATACACAGCTTTTATGTTTAGCTCTTGGTAGACCATGAAGGCAGCAGCATTCCCAGCTACTTTCAGCTTTCACTCCCATTTGTTAATACCAATGAGTTGGGCTTGCAGGACCTTTCTCTAGGCTCCCAGTGGCTTCAGTCAGGATTTATTTCAATGAAATCAGAGGAAATTATGTTAGCTGCAGTGGAAAAAGGCATTTCCAAAGGAACAGGTCATGCTCATTCACTTACGTTTCATGAGTCCCAAAAAAGAAGATGGGGTATTTGTTTGCTGGAGGCTTGACGGCTCCTTCAGGAAGTTCATCAATCTGTAAGACAGAAAGCAGCGGAAAAAAGATTATTCCCAAAAGTGGTGTCCCTCATCCAAGCCTTCCTACCAAGCCATGGAGGTGCTAGCACAGGTATCCTGCAGCCCTGGGAGGTCCTGCTGTGCCGGGGTGGGGAAGGGAAGACAGCTGCTGCTTTTTCAGGCAAAGTCAGCATGACTGAAATACTGCAGGGAGACAGCAGAAGACTCAGGAGCACACACAAAATGATTTCATGGGCATTATAACACACAAAGGCAATAAAATCAACTCTGCTTAATTTAAGTGTTAACTTCAGATGCTGCCTCATCAAAGGCATCGAAGCCCAGAGGGTAATCCTGCCTGTCTCACACAGACACCTCAATAACTTCTGCAACAAATGGGGAACAGATGGGACTCTGGGACTCTGCAGCTGGGAAACAGGACAATCTCCCAGTGGTGTTTGCTGTGCTGATGGTGGTACACAGTGTAAAATGTGTAATACACACCAGGGAGGAGGGCCAGGGACTCTCCTTCCCCTGCAACACCCTGATAACTGGATTTGGTTACCACTCCCCTCTGTACCCTCTCTCTCCTTTCACATTTTAATCCTGACCTTGTATTTCTCAGGACACAGTTGCAGAGCAGTGAAGGGAGGGATGCTGAGGGTGTTCTCCTCAAACAGAGCTGGTACTGGAACAAACCCCTCAGGCTGAGAAGTGCCCAAACCCCTTCTCCCAATGTCTGAGTGAGAGCACTGGTTGTGAGGCAGGAGGTGAGCCACAGGACTTAATCTTGTCTATGTCTAATTTTGTAGTCCTTTGCAACAGAAATAAGAGAGTCCAGGTGCCTACCCACATAAACCAAAAACACAGCAAAGTTTTAAATAAGATCCAAGAGCCTGCCTTCCCAGAAATGGCACTTCTGAGCATATGTGGGTGTGTGAAATTAAGTGTCCAGAGAACTCTCTGGCTAAGAGAGAGCCTAATGAATCTAGATATCTACAGGGCAGCACCAGAGAGCAGGTGAATGGCCTGGTGCCTGGTCTAGGGCAACTCAGTCTCAACATAAGCACCCTGCCAAATGTCACTGCAACTGAGAGCAAAGTGCTGACATAACAGTGCTATACAAAATCTGCTCCTCAGCAGAGCACAGGGATGCAACCTGCATGTTTTCACTCAGGAGACCAGACCCACATGTGCTTTCCTTCTCTTTTCTTGCTGAAGGACCCCTAACACTGAATTCTTATTGATTAATAAGCACCAGATTGTTTTCAAAGGATGTCCTCTTTCACAGTAAAGCATCTGCTTGGCTGTGTAGCTTTCAAAGGAGTATGAGCTTTGGTAAGAATTCAAACCCTTTTGGTCTTTCTGCAAGGACACCCCTTGGGGATGGAGAAACGAGAGCCACATGTGGACCTGTAACATCACAAGACTCCTCTGTGTAGAAGAAATGGATGCCTATCTTTTTGGTCTAACTGGAACATTCTCTGAAGCTGCACCAAAATCTGGAGCTCTGAGAGCGCTTCCAAAGCATTCCCTCAGGGGTGTGTGTGGTGGGGCACACTGTGTCACCCAGCACCCACCTCCCAGCACAGTCTGCAGGAGACAATTTGGGATTGTCACAGGTGTCACATGTCTTGTGGGCACAGCAATTACTTCTTTCTTGTACTTAACAAAACTAACAATTTGATAAATAAAAGGAGAATCTATTCTTTAAATGTACATAGAAGGAAAATACACACCAGTGGAGGATGAACATGTGCATTCCCTTTTAGCTCAGCTGTGCGAAAGGAGGAACTCAAACAACATGACAGGACTTTTGGTGTCCTCTTTATCATCAGGACAACATAGAGGAAAGGCTGTCGAAGATACTACTTTAGAGCTCACCATTTTCTGACACTATTTGTTTTTTCAGAAAGTGCCCATAAGGCTGCTATTTGCTCACAATTCATTATTTAAATACAGGTATTAGACTTATCATAAGAGTGATAAAAAGACTGCAGGTCAAAACCACTGCAACTCCCTTTCCAAACTGATAGCAAGTCAAGGAGATATTGCCTGTCTGCAAAACATTTCACGCCTCCTTCAAGATGGAAGCATCCACATGTCAGAGCAAAAAAGGCTGTGCTGGCAGTTTACCAAGTACAGGGAGAGGTAACACACCTCGACTGTCTGGATGCCATAGCCATCCTTCTCTTTATTGTGACAAGGAAGATGTCCAGATACCAGACCCCAGAAAAATGTGGACTCCTTTGACTGAGACAAACAGAGTCTGCTGGGACTTGAGTGCAAATCTCATTTGGCCACTTGAAACACGGCTCCAGCTCTGGGCTGCATTACAGAGCAGCACAGCCTAGTTACTGCCTCAGCCCTCTCAGAATCTCGTGAAATAAAGTAAACAGCTGTAAATGATCAGTAAAGGGGAGGGAGGGGGGGGGGAATGAAGACATGCTTAGCAGAGAATGCTGATCAGAAGGGATTGGGGATCTTGCATCACACAATGTGCTATGCTCTGAAGCAGTGAGGATCTCCTAAGCAGAATCCCAAGTGGAGTTAAGCCTTCTCTCTTATTCCCAGCACTTGTACTGTTAGCTAAGGAGCAGCACCAACAACAAAGGACAGAACACACATCTGTCACGCAGCTCACCTGCTCCCCATTTCGTGGCATATTTCTTTATTCATCCAAGTATCCCTTCTGACTATGTATCATCACAGGAAACCATAAAAAAGCTTTTCATAGCTTTTGGGAGTTGGCATACACATACAAACACACGCAGTATAAATCTGCACCAAACAGCTCAAGGAGAGACTGTTAATGCTCCCACTCTAACATTTCACTCTGCAACTGAGGTCAAGACTTTTCCTGCCTTCACTGATATTGCTGTGAGCTCCCCAGCTCTGGGGCTTATGTTGCTAGTACTGTAACAAGGTTGGATATAAAGCGACAGTGTTATCTTAGGGCCATTGAACTCCGTGGCAAAAACTCCAGGGAATCTAGTGAAGGATGAGACCCTCTCTTCCATTAGGAAAGATCTCTTCCCCTTTTACCTCTTTCACACAAATCCCGGCATTAGAGACTGTGAGAGAAGAGCTTTGCCCAGTCTCCCTGTTCCCAGTAAAGCCACCTTAGCCTTCTGTGGAGTCCCTACATGCTTTTTTAGCTGCAGAACAACCCCGGCACTCCATGGCAATTGCTGTTGTTTTGTTGTAGCAGAAAGCAAGCAGTACAAGCAACCACACTGCAATCTCCTGCTGCTGCACTCAGCCACAATTTATTCCCATTCTACAGGATGTTTTGGTTAAATATGCTGCAGATTTGGATCCGATATTTTCCCCCATATCAGCAAGATCAAAGACAGAGAGAGGGAGGGAGGGAGAGGAAGAGAGTGAGCGCATGAGCACAAGAGCGAAAAAAGCATCGCTGCCTTGAACCAGGAACAAAAGAGGAAAGAGCACCCATACTAGAACACAGTGCTGTAGTCACAGAAACCTCACTAATGACTAAAGCATCTGTCTATCAGAGAGGCAGACTGCGACTGTGTTTTGCTCCTGGAAGGAAACAAGCAGATTCTGAAGCACCCGCTGTAAGCTGCAATCAAACACGAGCTCCATCCCAGAACCAGAGCGGCTGCAGCTCGCTGCCACAGAAATCAGAGTGAGCAGCGCATGGCGTGCAAATCTGACATGTGCATCAGCAACACCACGGGCAGCCGCTTCAATTATGGCTAAAATTAAAGCAGGTGGTTTCAGATTTCGAGTTTTATCCCCTTAGCTCCCGTTGCTGTCATCTGCTTAATGAATAACAATTGCTTTCTTTTTGCACAACCTCAGCAGAGCTGCACTGCCCAGCGTTTGTTTGCCAACCAAGCAGCAGAGCTTTAAAGATGTAACTGCGAGGTTTTTTCCAGTAAACAAATGCCAGGCTTCTAGGGTCAAGAACACGGAGCAGAAAATTCAGCTCGGTCCTCTGCAACCAGAGCGGGGCTTTATCAAGCCGTGTTGCTAGTGACTACCAACGTGGAGGCAAGAAATCTGTCAGATCCTTACACTGCGGTTTACTGGCTAGGATGGGTGTGCAGCCCAAGTATTTTGCTCTCGGTGGTGCCGAGCAATCGCTGGCTTCCCAGGGAGTGTTTCCCGCTGGCTGCCAGGGTGGGTTTGGCAGCCCTCTGCAGTGCTCCCTTGCCGGCTGCCCCGAGGCCGGGGACCCTGGGGAGCGGGGCTGGCTGGGGGGGCTGGACCGGCGCCGCAGAGCAGAGCCCGGCGACAAGGACAACAGCAGCGGCTCCCACGAGCGCAAACCAGCCCCGTGCCTGCCCGTGGGATAACGTGGCGTGTTCCTGACAGGCTGAGGAGCTCGCTGGGAGGGCTGGTGCAGGAGCAGAGGAAGCTGCACCCCCTCCCGGGTGCTGTGCTCTGCAGAGCGCTGCATTCCCTGCGGAACGGGAGCCGTGTCTGTGCTTTGTCTGCTCAGCCGCTTCGGGCAGCCCGCTGCCGCTGCGGCGGCCAGGGAGGCGCTGCGCTGCCCACGGCGCATCCCACAGGCTTCTCCTTCCCGCAGGTGTCATGTTCTATGGCATCACAAAACCTCCGTGCTGTGGACAAGCTGCTGCTCAGAAGCACGAATTCCAGGCTGTCAGGGTGGCTTTCCACCAGACCCCGTGCTATTGCTTTCCAGCAGAATTTTACATGCACACACAAAAAAAAGATATTATGCAAAATACCTATCAGGTCCCCATTTAGAGAAAACTTTACATGCAGGGATGCTTATGTGGGCATCAAACCCACAAGATTTCCTTTTATTTGCAAAAAGAGGTAATTAAAACTGCAGAGCAGTAATCACTGATTGTTTTGAGATAGTGTAAATGCCGGTGATTGGCAAAAGCACACAGAGCCATTGCCGAGATCCACATCTCCCTCTGAAATCCCTGGAGCTGCTGCACAGCAGTTGAGCAGAGGCCTACAGTATTTGCTGGAAAGTGGTTCAAATTGCTTATTATTGCCCAACACATGCAAGCAGCT